AACGTTTTAGACATTGATTCGCGTCTTTACAAGACTTCCAAAACAATCATGATTTTTTTAAGTTCTTCAAAAGAAGGCAAGCCATGAACCATGGCAGGCCTATGATATTAGGCCTATATAAATAATAATCATGACTGTCATCATTGTCTCCCTCGGTTAGCTATGGGTTGGAAAAAAGATATTTTTGACTCTCATTGAGGCTTTATATTTTTGTTTAGTTATTTAAACGAACATTATGGGGAAGCAGGGTTTAGATATAGGGCTTTCGTTATTTGGACACCAAATGAGAAGCCACTATTATCATTATCATCAATGCTATTATCATTATTATTATCATTATTATAATAATTATTACCATTATCATCATTATTATTTTTGTTATTATTATCGTCATTATTGTTAATATTATTATTATTATTATATTCATCATCATTATTGATAATATTTTTACTATCATCACCACCATAATCATCATTCATTTCATGAAGCTTCAATTCACAAAGATCGTCGTCAGAACTCTGTGTGGCTGAGCAGTGAATAAATCGTTGCCACCTCATTTGAGATCAACTATACATGTATATATTGAAGCACATGAAATATAAAATAACGAAGGACCTAAGACAACCATATGGACATCTCGTAATAACCGTCGTCGGTCTAATTATCTATCTTCTGTTGATATCATCTACTACTACTACTACTACTACTACTACTACAATGTATTCCATGGACCATCTCCCTTAGCAGGTGACCCAAACTTGTCGTCTCCACTCTCCTCTATTCCATGTTTGAAACGCTGTCAGATTTAGTTCCCTCATATCTCTTTTGATGTCACCATTCATGTAGTCTTTCATATTGTTAATCATATGTATATATTTATAGAGAGGGAGAGAGGGAGAGATAGAGAGAGAAAGAGAGAAAGAGAGAATTGTCATTTATAAATAATTATGATTATATCGTCCTTCTTATCCTTCACTATCACGCTATTATCATTTTTTAGCAGTCGATTTATTTTCATCACACGGCAACTTCATATCTTTTTTCAATTGTCTTCCTTTCTACCTCCTCCTTCTCATTATTATCATCATTGTTCCCCCTGTTTCTTTCTTCTTCTCAATCCCAATCTCATATCTCTCACTATTCCTTGTATCCACTCCATTATCATGTATTCTCAGCATCTTTTTTTTTTTTTTATTCCCATGTGTCTTCCTTTTCTGCATACTTTGCTCTTCATTCATACCAATGTCATATTATATTCGAATATTTTGTAAAATGTAAACGGAAAAAAAATAATTAAAAATCACTATAAAACAAGAAATGTGTTACTTTGAAACGTCAAAATTGTGTTTTCTAGAACTGCACGCTTTGTGCTTTTGTTTTGTTTTCAAGGATATGAAAGACAGGTTGAGGGATGGCGCTCTTCAACTTCATGCCAATAGATGTTTGCTCTGCATTGTCTTTGCTTATGATCATAATTCGAATGAAGTTCAGTATAACATTTCTCGTAGGCTAATTGATTAATTTCGACCTATCCATAAAAACTGATCTAGTAACCGAGCTTCATGATTATACTAGAACTGTAACAAACAAGCATTCTAAATTATTAAGGAAGAAATAATAGTAACTATTGTTTAGTTAGCGAATCACCAGGAAGCTGTAACATATCCGACTTTCACCTTGGTTTTGCAGGCATACTTCGAATGGCTAGATGGCGCTCTTTCACATCATCATACAGATCCTGATACAGATCGGAATTCTCTTCACGTCTTAGAGATGAAAATATTCAGTTATTATTTCTAATATTATTTTTTAAAGGTGAATTTAACATGGATGCAATATCGCAATGCGTAAATGTCATTGATAACAATCACACAATGTCAAGATAGATGTTAAAAATGTCACAGAAGGGTCAATTTGTGATAAAGGTATTTTACTACATGTATTACTAATGCAAAGAGCATGTCGCAAATTGATTATAAGATGCCAAAAACATGTTCGCAACTCTTTTCGAAAAAATCAACTCAATTGCAATTTCAATATCATATGTACCATACCCATCATATTTGGATTATGTAATACATCACTGTCACGCTCGCATTTTTAATTAGGTGACGCACGCACAAGGCTATTCTATTAAAATTTCTATAGGGCTTTTAGGATGATTTTTCTAAAGGAGTTTATAACTTTCGTGTTCAATAAGTGATTTCAAGTTCGGTGTTGGTGTTGGTTTTTCGCAACACCAATATCTGCTTTCGACACCGAACTTGAAATCACCCAATATTGACAAACACTGGGTATTGTGACGTCAAAGCCATTGTTACGCGCACTTGCTTTTGTGACGAAATATGCGACGCTTTGTGACGTCAAACCTGACGAAAAGTTTGTCAACCTTTTGACTGTTAAAAGCTACTGTTAAAAGCTACGAAAACGCGCATATAATCCTGCGCACATATGCATAATAAATTCTCAAAATGCGCGCAATGTATGCATAGCGCATGTACTATGTATAACGTATTTAACTATGCTGAGCTGATTCGTAACTTGGAATTGGATGCATGAGGAACAGGTACCGTATCCTAGACTTGACTCTAGACAACAGCAAATAGAATTTCAAAGATTCGTTGATTTTACAACTTTTTACAAAGATCAGTTCAAAGGACCAGGCAGTGAGGTTTTTGCAATCTACAGTCATCTTAGCTCAGAGCTTATCATTGTCCATAAGGTTAAAGGTGAGCATAAATAAGCAACGCCAACAGCTTACTGCTTAGTTCATGACTAGCTGAGACTCAACCGCGCGACTCGACTAAGAAAACTAAAACTTTAGGGTGTAAACCTTTGGTGCAAACCTTCAATCTCATGCTGCTAGATAATGATCTGACTTTTGTTAGACGGTAGATCTAAAGTTAGTTGGTTTAATAAACCTTGGTCTTATTTATTTGTTAGAGTTTAATCACAACCAAGGCATGAGACCCGAAAAGTAACGGTAGGGGGTTTAGGCCTAGACTTAGACCGAAAACTTCAGTCTCTCTAATCGTCGGTTGTTCCACTGAGACTACGTCTGGCTCCACTAGACCTCCGATTACAGAATGACAACAAATGTCAGTTTTATTAAAGAAATGACCCAAATCAGATGGTTATTGCTGTCTAGCCTAGACTCTACTCTCTAGATCTATTGAATTAGGCCTAGGGGTCTAGAGTCTATCTATTCTAAATTTCTAGCGGATGACACCCGGATGAGATCGGCGCACGCCGATTCCATTTTTATTTGACTTTGAAGTTTGATGTCAATGAATGGCGCCGAAACTAAAAAACAAAACTAGATCTAGACCTAATTAAAAGCGCTAACGAAAAAGGAAAATTAATGATTTAAGTTTTAACAAAAATATGAGAACTGTCCAAACATGTCTGGATCTGGCTGTCTCTGTTGAGGTAAACCTAGAATAGATGTCAGTTCCACTTCCAGATTGAATTTGTTTCCCCTTTTCTAGAGATGTCGATTTGATCTAGAGTCTAGATCTAGGATATAGATCTAGATTTTTTTAGACTAGTAGATCTAGACTATAGGGTCTAGACCTAGTCTAGATCTAGACCTATCCACTTCAAAGGACAATGATAATTGATAATATGGTCGAAGGAGGCGATCTTGGGGAAGGGGCACATTCGTCCCAATTTTCAAAAAGTGCAAGTTTGTACTTCTCAAAATGTTCCCTTTAACTTATGAAAAGCCCCCTTTTTCTTTTCAATACTGGGTAGTCCTATTTGAAGGTTGGACCAACCTGTCGGCTGTTCGTGTTTATTTTGTTTGTTTTTAGAATTTAACGTTTATTTCAAAATGGGTCCAAATGGATCTTTAAATTAATTTCGCTCCTAACTGTTATTTTACTTCCTTTCTTATATTCTTAATTCTCTTTCCTCTTGATTTTCCCCTTTTTCTTATATATTATTTATTCTTCTTTTCCCTTTCTTTCCATTTCCTTTTCTCTTCTTGGCGTTGATTTTTTTGTTTTTTGTTTGGGGGGGGGGGGGGGGGTCAGCTGCCCGAATAGAACGCCCGGTATAAGGTGGTGTCTGTGTCTTGACAATTTTTTTTCTTCTTTTTTTCCTTGGGTGGCCTTGTTTTTCGAAATATTCACCTCTCTTTCAGTTTCATTTATTTACCTTCTCCCTCTTATGTATTCTTTCTCCATCCTGTCGCTTTCTCTTTTCTCCTGCTTTTTTCCCCTTTTCCAACAGAAATTTCCATGCAGTTTCTAAGATTAAAAAATCTTCTTTATCCTTGTGATAAGTGCACTCATTTTGAAATAAAACCCAGCACTTATCGGATGGGGAAAGGCACTCGTGAGAAAGGAGAATGGGCACTTGTCCAAAGTAACTTAAACAAGCACTTATCAGATTTGAATTGAGGCACTTATGTTTAAGAATAGGAAAGGGACACTTATCTAGATTCAAACAGAAAAAGGGGCACATATCAGAAGTAAAAGTAGCGCTTCTGGGGGATATTTGCGGTGACGGTACCTGGGGGTGTTTCACAAAGATCCTAAGTCGAACTTAACACTAAGTTGACTTAAAAATATGGAGAGCCATGAATTGTAGCCTTAAAATTAAATATTTCCAAAAACAAAAAGTATTTTAGACTTTTCTTAAATTCCACGTCAAGAACATGAAATCTCCATGATGAAATGAATAATTTGAATCAACATTTTATGCCTTTTGAAATAACTTTTACAAATTGTTTTTAAAGATGCTAATGGCTTTCCATAATTGTTAAGTCCAACTTAGGATCTTTGTGAACGCCCCCAGTTCTCTTAATACTCATACTTTCGTTTGGACTTATATAAATTGTCTTTTAATCTTGAACGATGTAACAAGTGGACTTGATGAAGTTAATCCCACGATTATTAGATCAGATTGCAGAAAGAAAACAAAATATCGTCCGACCGGAAAATATCCTTGATTATCATTTGTTCTTTTCTTTTCTCTTGGTCTCTACGATCAGCCTGATATTGACTGTCATCATGTCTGAGCGCAAAGCCGTGATCAAGAATGCTGACATGCCCGAGGACATGCAGCAGGACGCAGTGGACTGCGCCACCCAAGCCCTCGAGAAGTTCAACATCGAGAAGGACATCGCCGCCTACATCAAGAAGGAGTTCGACAAGAAGTACAACCCGACCTGGCATTGCATCGTCGGCCGCAACTTCGGCAGCTACGTGACGCACGAGACCAAGCATTTCATCTACTTCTACCTCGGACAAGTGGCGGTGCTTCTTTTCAAGTCGGGATGATGGCTTCGTGTCTTACTATACATTACACATAATGCTGGTTCATCTTTTGTGATGGAGTTGAAAACAGGATAAATACGTCTGTTGAAGTTACTTGTTTCAGTCTTAAGGCACTGAGGTTGTCCGAAGAACTGTAAGATGTACAGTTTTAGGTCGACTATTTTGTGGAGTTACTCTGGTATTCATTTTCAGATTGAACGTTATTGAGTACTTCACATGTCAATTGTTATTTTTTAATTTGTATTTCAGAAAAAATATATGATGCAGATTTACTGTATCATCAAATGATTTTGTTTCTTATCCAATGGTTTGGATCTCGTTTCAAGATGATAGCTCTGGGACTGGGTCCACATGTTACTGTTAGCTCTTAGTCTTATAGCATCCATTTGCATTTGAGCTTAGACCATCCGCCAAAGTACATCATAAATGATTTCATACTTGTGATTGTGGTCAGATTAACTCTTGAATGAATTTTCCCAACGAATCAGCACCATAACATATAATCCTTAGGCTTCAAGATTTCTTTTTTCTTTTCACAATTCTCTTCTAAAACGGCAGGATTCAGCAGAGCAAGACCTCGTTTCATTGGATTGTTATGCCACAAACAAATTATATAGACCTATTTTTGGTCTACATAATAATAATACTTATGAATAATAAAAGTAACATTTATATAGTGCTTAATATTACCGTGCGATACTATTCATTGTTACTCCGGCATAAGCCAAGCTACTCTGACAAGGCGCTCTGGCATTCAAGAAATGTCCTCCTATACGGAAGGGACAATTTTTTATTGAGCGAGTTGGAAAGGCGCATCTGAAAAGGTTTTCAGTTATTACATAATTAAGGACCTTTTCAGTTTTACCGAACAAGAAAGGTTGTGCATGATGTTTCATCTCCTCCGTCCTCCCTTCATTCAAAATTGTGCTGTCTAAAGTCTATCCCTTTTTTCCTTTTCTGGATTAAGATCCTTGTAATGCGTTTGATCCGAATCGAATACATATCCGAGTTTAATACCAAATTCATCGATTGGATGAATTGGAATTGTTCTAATTAATCAAAACTCTTTTACTGATGATGTGTATTCGTTCTTCTAACTGAACCTTTCTAATCCAGTCTGTTAGGAATTGTCATGTTTTCCTTTTTATTGTCTTGCATATTCCATATAGAATATTACAATTTTCATGCATTTGCTAAAGAATTTCACAATTCAAGTTTCATGAATTCACTTTTTATTTGTCTTGAGAAAAAAAAAAAGCGATGTCATAATGTATATGATTTTTTTAATATATATCATTTCATTAAAGAATTTCATCTATTGTACTGATCGCAATGTTGCCTTTTATTCATGATCAGTTCAGTCATTTGTGAAAAGAGCAAATAAACTTATCTTCCGAAGTGCCGTATTATATAGAACGTCTATTATTAAAGTTTTATAGTACATATCGAACGTCGTGCATGATGAAATAATAGTTTAAAAACTCCTTCTGTCTTATGTCTTCGTCATATTTACTAAAAAGATAAATAGATCAATTAATGAATACCAGTCGAAGAAGATGGTAAAATATTTGTGCCCGATGTGCTCTGACCATGAAATATATTACTTCTGGTATATAGTTTTTCTCGGGGTGTTATTTTATTTAAATTATTAAAGTGACATGTGATGGGAGTTGATGTATGGACACTTAAAAAGCACAAATCCTTCTCTTTTGCCTACAGATCGAAAAATGCTCATCAAATAGCATTAACCATTATGAATATTTGTCCTTTACAATATTTTCTAACTTATGCCTAAGATTAACGAAATATTGATTGTAAACTTCTTCAAAGTGCTCTTTTAAATCACAACCTGTCCGGACACAGTCTCGGTATACAGGAAGTGTGTTAGAACACATAACGCATAGAAAACACAATTCGTTTGCGCGTTCATCTTCCTTGATTCTGATGATGTGAGTTATAAACAATTTAATTTTGATCCATCTCTCCTATCCGGAGACTTAAACATTAATATAGTCTGCACATGTTTCAAATACAATTCCGTTGATACATAAAACCATTGCCAGATTACCCTTCACGTTTTAGACCTACTGTGGTTTATTGGTGTAGCACTTATCAGCATCATCATCATCATCATCAATATGATAATAATGATAATGATAATAATAATCACATTTATAGGGCGCTTTATACAGACGTTTCTAAGCGCACAGATGGTACTGTCTAACTTAGTTTAATTATTCAACATGTTCAATACCTTAAAAGCAAAATATATATATATTACTAATACAATACAATTGAGTTGAATGAATGAACTACTTGTGTGCACCTCCAGTATACTATAACTGATTAAAAAGGTGGGCTTTGAGAAGGGTAATAATAATAATCGTTAATATGAAAAATATTATTATAATTATCATTATCTTTTATCATCATCATTATCACAATAGGGAAGAGACACAATAGAGTGTGTGTATGTACGTGGAATGAGAAAGATGAGGAATAGTGAAGAGGTGATTTGATGCATCTAGTATGATAATATAGGATTTCCCGGCGAAATTCGCGAGTTTGTCATTCGAATTCATTTACTTTGCATTTAAGTTAGCGCAGATCGGCTTTGTCATGCCAATTATCATTCAATTTTCCCGTTTAGGTATTCAATTTAGGATTTTGGTCGAAGGATTTCATAGATCTGTCATTCAATTTATAAACTGCTCAACTAGCATTCAAAATAATCGTCACTTGTCGAGGCGTCATTTTTATCATTCAAATTAACGCCTGTCATTCGTATTCGAATTATGATTATTCAAGATAGGAATGTTGGGGCGAAGAAATGCAACACACGTTTGTACTTGTATTAAAAAATGCAATTAAATGCATGATTTGCCATTAAGGTCTTTTTTGTTATTCCATTTTTTATTTTTGAGACGATGCATATGGGTGTAGTCAGACATTAGGTAAAGAAGGGGCGAAATCAAGGGATATGGCATTTCTGCACGGACATGTTCATATACCCCGGAAAAGTGGGGATACAAAAATACCTACCCCAGTCACAATATTGTACCCTTCCTCCATAATGAAATTGGGATGAATTTATGATGAAACACGTCAAGACAAACAACTTCCTTACATGAAAATTTACAAAAATATTGAGACCATCAAGTTTGTAGATGATTAAAGGATGATGAATATCAGATAAATCTAAAAGTATATAAAGTGTATAAATGCAAGAAAATAAAATATAATGAAATACAAATGGAAAAAACAATCTTGAAAGAAAAAGAATGAGCTATAAAAGGTGTGTAATAAACGAGAAATGTATATTGACCATCAATTTGAGTGCACAAAGTGCTAATTTGAATGCTAAAAGTACACCTTTGCGATGTCAGAAATCGTGTTGCGCCAAATCGAATGACCAACTAGCGAAAGAAGCACATTATTCATTAATTTGAATGAAACATACATAGATTCTAACGAAAACCTCAAAGATTTGAAAACTAGAAAAGGAATATAAACCCAAGATATATCTGACACCACTAAAACCGTCGAATTTGAACGCAAGAAAAATTAATTTAAATGACAAATTCGCGAATTTGGCCGGAAAATCCTATATTAATGTCCGCCATTAGGCACATGAATATGATCGAGTCTACCATACAGAGCAGGTATGTGGTAGAGAATCATACTCTGATTAAATCCGAGTATACGCTTTTTGAAAGTTCTGATGAGATTTTTTCAATTGTTTGGTGCCGGTTTGGTGTTTTAAACTACAGCGTTTCAGAAATTATGGAAGGACATATTTAGTATTTGGGGGTGGGGGTTAAATCGGCGCTCCTTTATTTTAACCGAAACTTCATTTTGTTGTGTATACAATATAGTATTAATGACTGCTTTGAGAGAAATAGTTGTTTTATTACGCTCAAGGGAAGGTTAGAATTGTGCTATTCCCCGAGGCTTGCCGAGGGGAATAGCCCAATTGTAACCTTCCCGAGAGCGTATGAAAACAACTATTTCTCGAATATTAAAGCAGTCATTAATACTTTTATATGCCGAAAAAAAATAGACTAAAAAATGAAAAATTAAAAATATTTATCATTTCGTCGAAGACGGGATTCGAACCCTTGCGTACAACAAGAGGTGTACCTAAAACCAACGCTTAGACCACTCGGCTATGGCCCGCCGTTAACATGCATGGCAGTTTTCTCCAATATATACATTAAAATGGATTGAAACCGGCTTCGCGTGTGATGAATGCTTCGCAAAAGCTCCATATACGGACTCTTCTTTTACTTTTGCAATGCATATTGGCACGAACTTAGATCAAGATCTATCGGCAGATGTTGTTTTTTTGTTTTTGGAAGTTTATTTTCGTCTTCATGTCAACAATGCAAGATAAAATTGTCGGTAAGATCGATCGAGATTCAATTGTATTGAAATTACCGACCAATCCTTCGCACACATACGGCATCCTCCATCGCTCAAACCATTTTTTAACATGTAAACCTATGGGGTAACCATGGAGGCTGACCAACTTTTTTTAATAACCATGGTTATTAAAAATATTGAAATGTTTTATGCATGGTTACCGAGAATTTTACAGGAACAGTTGAAGTTTATGAATGCAATTCGACCAATCAGATGGCTGGATTTCTTAAGTGAGGTATATAACAGAATATAATAACGAATAATCCAGTCCACTTTAATAGCGAAGGTATTGACTGGTAAGGTGTGCAATTTAACATTTTTGGACAGAAAGGGAGTAGTAATATTTTCCCTATTGATCATATTTCCTTCGTGAATTTAACCTCCCTTTGGCGGTCAAAAAAAAAAGTCATATTACACACCCTGTCACTCAATACCTGTTTAATTCACCGCTATTGCACGCTGGGCCGTGCGTTATTTGTATAATATTAAGTCCACGTGTTGGGATAAGATGACGCAAAATCAAAATGATGAAGAAGAAAAGTTTTATGCTTTTAATACAACAATTTTAGTAGGTCACAATTTCTTGACGTATATTCACAGAATAGCATGAACCTTCTCTCACTAGATAGTGGTAATATACGTCCAAAATTCGCCCTGTAATAGATAAGTGAAAAAGAAATGATAAAACAACTGATGATCAGCAAAATATACGAATTCTCGGCTTTAAGCCTTTGTCAAGTAATGACAAATATATTCAATACCAGAGCTACCGTTTTTCAAAACTTGAAAAAGGGGTGCAACAGTTACCATGTGCGCAAAGTTCAGAAAAAAGGAGGAAATAAGTCTGCTAGAAAAGATGACGAACAAAAAGAAAAGACTGGGAATAAGCGAAAGAAAAGGAGGGAGAGATGCGCGAGAATTATGAAATAAGAAAAGTGACTAAAGATGCGCGGGAAAGGAAAAGGAGAACTCGTGCAAGAAAGAAGAGAAGGGGAAGGAGGGGGAGAAAGGGAGAAGAAGGAAAAAAAAGCGGATGAGAGAAAAGAAAAAACAAGGAGAAAGTGATACAGGGAGAAAAAACAGAAAGAAAAAAAAGACCTGTGATCGTGCGTACGATACACGAATGTTATCGCGGAATTGATTTTTTAGGGCTGGGGGGCATCTCCTAAAAAAGGTAAAATTAACGTGTTTTTATACATTTTTGTGGCCCCCCCCCCCTGGATCCGCCACTGCCATATCGTTCCTCATTTCTTCCTTCCATTCTCTTACTCTCCAGGCACATCCTAGATCACTTTCTTCACATGCATATGCGTTAGGCATTCTCTTTCTTTTCTCCTTCTCTCTGTTGTCGTTTCCTTTAGGCTTAACTTGAAATATGGAAGATGTATTCATAGTTTACATTGCATTATGTTCTAAATCACGCCTTCTCAACTAGTTTATTAGAAGTGACAAAACGAAAAGAATTTGCAGTTGAAGTGCCACCCTGTATGTTCGACTGTGCTGCGAGGGAGCGTAGCGACCGAGCCGAAAACGGATGGGGTCGAGGGGCGGAGACCTCTGAAGCTGGTAGATTTAGGGCTTTCTAAAGGCCCAAATGGGGCATTTTTAACACCATTTCATTCCACAATATAATCAAGCCTAATTTCTATTGATGTGAGAAAATTAGTACAATTCCTGGGTACAATTACACTGGAGTTGAATTTATATGCAGTTTTGGGGGAGCAATAAACACTGGAAATGTCAAAATAAAGTGAAAATCAAACAAACAAAAACAAGATGTTTCCAGAGATTGGCAATGTTAAAATTAGTAGCCCATAGTAAGCTAACTGTTGTTCAGAGATTAGGTTTAGAGTCGTATAAAATGGTAAAAAACGATAAACACCCCCTTTCTTCCTGTTTGTTAAGCAAGCATTTTGGGCTCAAATTCGAATGCAACTTCTTGATTTAGCTGAGTATTTAATTCTAAAATATATATCTTCTTTCTTTCTTTTTTTGGCAACAGTCGCGCGCCACTCCGACTGACCAGAAGCGCCACAAGTGGCGCGCGTGTCGCCAGTTGAGAAGGCCTGTTCTAAATGATGTGTTTATAAGTTGCCTTTAATTTATTATTTATTAAAAAAATAATACAAAATATGATTTTAGACCAAGTACATCGATCAGATAATGTCTTTTGGCTAAAATGCCCGACTCCCTTACTTCGGGGTCTGAGGAACCGCATTCGTGTTCCCCAAATCTCTGCTCTTGAAAGGGGTACTTTTCGCGCGACAAAGTCCGGCCCGAGAATTGTAAAAAAAAGGGGGTGTATTTGACTTTTCATCCGGAGATTTCTTTAAAAAGGGGGTGTATTTCTCTCTCGCTCTTTGGACTCCTGTCAAAATTTTAATAGGGGGTGTTTTTTCTATCTTTCTGTTTGGAATCATCGTGAGAAATTATAAAAGGGGGTTATAAAATATCTTGAAATATCATAGATACTAGGGGGTAGGCCTACATTTAGCAGTGATCCGGATTTAGGAGGGTCTCCAAGGCAGGAAAAGCCAGTGAAAGCGGGGTTCACAAATGTTGTAAATTAGCCACAAATTGGTGTATGGTGTCTTCTAGTGTTCAATATTAGGGGAAAACATTAAAATGTGTCCCTATCAAGACCTTTTTTCCCCGATTTCAGATACTCAACTAAATAAGATTAAGAAAGAAAGAACAAAGTCTATAAGTTAGGAAAAGTTGAAAATCTATTTATTTCGAACAATCTCCCACACGATTTCAGAAATTGAGTAATTGTTTTCCCGGACTCCATATTTTCAAATAAATTTTAAATTCATGAAGGAGTTATTGAGACATATTCATATCTTCCTACCCCCATAACAGGTTTATGTCTTTTATAAATGTTGAACTTCCAAAACGGAAGACAATATTTTGGGTTAACAAATTTAGGTACAAAATAAGAAATGAGGTGGCTCGTAAGAAAGATGAAAATAGTGTAAAAAACACTTTCTATATTCCTTCATTTAATGATAATAATATAGTAATATGTGTAAAGTGCATAATAACAATTCATTCTCTATACACTTTATAGAGTTTTTTTTAGCATTTACTATTCACAATCAATTGATAACCACATGAATAATCAAAGATTTAGATATAATACACAAATACATAATAGTAAAACATTCAAGGAGTTTGAATTGAATAACATTGTGAAAGCAATGCAAATTAAGATACAATTATAATAATGGTATAAACTCAAGACCAGAATCAAATAGCAAATACATGACAATTGAATAATCAGACAAAAAAACAACTTTCCATAATTGTTAAGTCCAACTTACGACATTTGTGAAACACCTCCATGGAGGGGTAGGATGTTTCTAAGGGTGTGTCTGCAGGCGCGGATTCAGGATTTCTTAGGGGGGGCCCAACTTTTTTTTTTGCTCCCGAAAATTTGAAAATCGCGTCGGCCGAAAAGTCGCTCAGTGGGGGGGGGGGGGGGGGGGGGGGGGGTAGTGAGCACATTTTGGTCCTCGAAAATTTTAAAATTTGCAACCCCCCAAAAAGGTAAAATTCATGTGTTTTTACATGATTTTTTTTCTCAAGGGGGGGGGGGGCGCCCCCCCTCCTGGATCCACCACCGTGTGTCCGTAGTAGCTTAGAGAACTCTCACTAAGTATGGATGCGTGAAACTTGAAGGAGGATTTGTTGTTAACTTCAATCATCCAAGTTGCCTCCATGATGGCGATCAGTGTCCATGGGGGTGTTTCACAAAGATCCAAAGTTGAACTTATCTCTAAGTTGGACTTAACAGTTATGGAAAGCCGTTAACATGTTTGAAAATATTTTGTAAAAATTATTTTAAAAGGCATAAAATGTTAATTCAAATCATTCATATTCATATTTTCTATTATCATGGGAAATTTCATGTTCTTGATGGGGAATTTATAAAAAGTAATACTTGAATTTTTGATTTTGAATATATTTTATTTTAAGGCTACATTTGGCTCTCCATAAATTTTTAAGCATAACTTAGAGTTAAGTTTGACTTAGAACCTTTGTGAAACACCCCCCCCCCCCATATTCACTTTCATCACTGCTTCAAAAGAACTCACTGGATCAGAACCCCTATTCAATTCCATATTTGAATTATGTCAGTATTTTACTAAGCATTTTGCTTAGCTAAGAACAAATGGATCAAGTCTTATTCAGAACACATCTAAGTATTTTACTTAACGAAGCCAACTTTAAGAAAATATATACTTAGTGATGGCCACTGTGACATCACTTAGCCAATCCAATTTTTTTCACAGTTACAGGCATCTTATTATAATATGCACTGACATAATATTGCATTGCTTATAATGACTGCATATGAAAACCACATGCCTAACAATCAAGGCCTCCAAAATAAATTGGCTTCAGTCAGATATGGAACTCTCTTGAACTAACTATTGTGCAAAGTATATTTGTAAAAGAATGAAATAAAAATCAGTTCATAAGATACATGTTTTAAAGATAATTGCTAGTTTTAGCCTTTATTATATCATATAGTAGGTGGTTAAAGAGAAAGTTGAGTTTTGGTCATGCGATTGCATTGTGAAAGAAACAGTGCGGAATCAATCAAAAAAGGTTGATCATCTAGCATATTGGTGTGTATTGCAAGGTTCTGGAATCATAAAATGATAAGAAATTTGGCCTAGTCTTGGTAAAATTACAAGCACTGTACACAAAAAGATGTATACGGGACTACACGAACATGTGGCATAAAAATCTGTCCCGATTTTTATGCTGTTACATGCCATATTTAGAATATTAAGGCATTTGATGAGCCACGCTTTTCAGGGAACATTTTTAATCTGATGTTCTTCCAAACTTGCATGATAACAATGATAATGCTCACAAATTACTGTTCACCTCTTCCCAGAACTCAACCTTCTCTTTAATGGTTTAGGCGAACATAAATCCATATTTACTATAATGTTAACTGTATGTCCACATCTGTAGTAGATAGCTGTAAAAAAACAATCCTTTATAAACAATGTTTTTCATTTTTTAAGGTAAAACACTTAGACAAAAGAAAGAAGCTTCAACTACCTACCTATGAAGTTGGCCAAGTATTTTACCTAAGCCGAAACCTGAGTAAAATACTCATATTTCTGTCATATTTGTTGAGTTTAACACTGGTCCTGAGGCTTGTTTTATAAAATTTGATAGCAGTAACAAATTCTGAAACTCTTTAACAAATTTGCTCTTAGCTAATCAAATGCCATGATTTTAGTAGCTTATAACAGTTACTCTAACTTTTTATTAAAACATTTTTTTATGAAACAGGATAAAGGGCTTTATGTTAGCTGTGTCACTTGTTTTTCAATATGACGTTGGCAAGTCTCCTTTCTTTGTTCGATTTCTAAACGAGTCTCTGAGAAATTAGAGAAGCAGATTGGTGAAAGTTTGAATGAAATCAACACAAACAGACTGAACTGTCGGGTTCTCTCCATAGACGTTGGCAGCAAGATAGAGGCGGAGCTCCTTGATATGCACATGCCTCGAAGTGACATCACAGGTCGCAAGATCACAGTTGTCGTGACAAACTGACAACTCACAGGAGGAATGTGATACTAGTGTCCTATAACTTGAATCCAGAGTGTATTGCAGCGATGCCCAGAGAAAGGTTTTCATGTCTCACTAAGCTAAAACCTGCATCCTCTATCATGGCAGAAAACTCCTTCTGAATAAGCAATGGAAAAGAGCAATATAATAAAGAATAGAAGTCTGTTCTTGTGTACATATAACACACTTAAACTTTTCATTTGGGAAAGATCATTCCTGTGAATATAACCGACTGAACATCAGTGAATATCCGTTTCAACTTCAAAATATACATATCCATATCTTATTTTTTAAGGTAGATTGAACATAATACCAGTAGCAAATATATTCTCTCAGTAAAATGCAACTGATACTTAATGCATTCTGAATGTGCATGCCAAAATAAGAAAAAGGCATGTTTATACTAAAATAAAATTGTATTCAATGGGTTAAGAATATCAATTAGAAAATTTCTAAGATTCTCTAATTTTGATGATACCCTAGATCATTTTCTGTGGATTCTAGATATGCCTTTTGCATGCAAAATGTCCCTTTTCATGACACTGCATTATGCTGAGCTATATTAGGTTGAATCATTGTTCTTTACATGACATTTTATATGGGGAAGAGATATTCTCTTTGATTTTCCATCGTGAATTCATAATGTATGTTTTGAGTAACTAAATTTCATTTCGTTCATAAAATCTTAATTACTGTTCCTTATTTGATTGTAACGATTTGTACGTTTCTTATCTGTTGTAATAGCGCTCTGATCAGTTTTTCTGTAATAGCGCTCAATAAGAATCAATCATACTATTATGTAAAGGTGTAATTTAGGACAGCTTTGGTAAAGCTAATACCAAAGTTCTTTGACAAGGTGAAAACCACTGATTTACCTGGTTTGGAAACTGTCTGATGCTCTCAACCAGATACTTGTATGATTTCCAGTCACCGGCGATGACATCACCAAGGACAGGTATCACATCAAAGGAATATCTGTCATAGGCCCTGATGTCAAAATCATTTCATGTAAAAAAAAACAAAGTAAATTGTTTTTGATATGGAAGAGAAAGTGCATCTTGCTGGACAAAGGCATGGGACATGGTTATACAAGGTGGATGAATAGGTTAATCTGTATTTGCCACTCTCCATCCAGGTTTAAACGGGCACCTCATATGCATCAGCACTAGTTACTTCCTTGGCTCGGCTATAACCAATGTAATCTTGTGTAAGCACCATGAGCATCACTGCATGACAGATATGAATGGTACACATGTGGCTATTAATTAAGGTTTCAATTTCATTGATCCAACATTCTATTGATTACTTACTTCATGTACAATCTTGTGATTGGTTGTTATTGTTTTATGGACTGCATGTCAGCCATCTTGGTAGCCATTTTGAAAGATGAAGTAAAAAATAGCAGTGCAGCTCAAGTCAACAATCACGTCAGACTAGTTTGTTCTTGTGTGAGTCTTATATTATTAAAAGTATAAGTTAAGCCAAGTCTACTCACATCCTCAGCAATGAATTCTGAACCTCACTGAACTCTAAGCAGAGGAATCGACCTCCTGGTTTGAGCACCCTGTAAGCCTCATCCAGAGCCTGTCATATAGAGAATGCACACACACATCAGAAGAAGGATCATACAACATATGATGCTATGGAAACAATAGACCAGTTTGTAATTAGCACATGGTTCAAGTGTCCCAGAATATCCACAAATCTTTTAAAGCCCATCTGCACTAGTTTGCCCAGGAGGGATTAGATCTTCCTGCATGGTCACTGACAGGTGGTTATCTCATCAAATCAGCTCTCAATTAACATAAGGAAAAGTGGACTATGGGGGACCAACGGTTACCGCTTCGGCATTGTTTGCTATATAGAGGGCGCAAGTAGCTATAAGTAGTGCAGTGGGGCTTTAAACATGAGGACGTCCCACATTGTGCATTTTAGGATAATCACTGCCAAAGTCATGGAGGGGCTTCATAATACTTTTTGTTTGCCCTCTTGTAAAGAATACTCCCACCAGTGTATCCTAGATTGAACAGCTAGTGCATAAGCCGATAACGATTACACAACCGTCATGAACATGCATCCAAATAATCCAACTTTTGTTTTGATGGGCTTTACAGTATTGTACAAATCACCTTGATAATGCAACAGTCATTTTAGTTTGCTCAGCACTGTGAGCATCTTCAAAATGGCGCTTGGTTGGAATATGCTCCCCAGTGAGTAGAAAATGTGCATACATTGTGTTCAGACAAGCCTGAATCCACTGAACAGGATAATCATATATATATATATATATATATATATATATATATATATGTGCCGACAACTATGATATTTTTATATCCATAGCTCCTCTCCTGAGCTTTACAACTATGTCAGGTAGACGGAAAGTGGTCGCCCTGCCGTTTTCCTCTTTCTCTGTTATATTAATTTATTTGTCATGGGTAGTTAGATTTGTATGTTTATTTTTGTTTGCCTATAAGTCTAGGCCTGAAAGCAATTCACAACATTTCTTATTTCGTTTTGTTTTGCTGTTTTTATTCTTCGTGTACTATATAATGTCAATTTGCTTCATTAACTTTAAAACAATTTCATTCGACTGTAAAATTATTTATGCATCAACAGATTATGGCTGACTATACAATTCATGTCAAAATATGTTCTCTCAATGTAAGGGGTCTAGGAGATAGATTAAAAAGAAGATGCATGTTTGATTGGTTTAGGAACATGCAATTTGATTTATTTCTTTTACAAGAAACACATAGTGTTAAAGAATCGGAGAGAATATGGGCAAGTGAATGGGGATTTAAATGTTATTTTTCTCATGGTACATCGTGCAGCGCAGGAGTATGTATTTTGTTTAAATCAAATAGTAATTTGAAATTTTCCTCAATCCACAGAGATGATCAAGGGCGAATTCTTTTATTAAATGTAATGCATGATAATACAAATTTTACTGTTGTTAATGTATATGGTCCCAATAGCGACGATTGTAATGTATTTAATAAATTACATGATATGTTAGGAACGTATGGATCCGAACCTCTAATTATTGGGGGAGACTGGAACACGGTGCAAAACCCCTTTCTAGATAGACACCCAACTTCAAAACAATATCACCCTAAATGCTATGACTGCCTTGAAATTTTAAAAGAGGACTATGATTTGATTGATATCTGGCGTGTTGAAAACCCATGTAAGATTCAATATACTTGGCAATCTAATGGCTCTCAGAGTAGAATCGATTATTTTCTTATTTCTAGTAGTCTACGGGAGTTTGTTAATGAATGTGATATCAAGTTTGGCTATCGCAGTGACCATTCAGCTATAACTATTGAAATCAATCGATCAGTTCCTAAAAGAGGACCTGGTTTTTGGAAACTTAATTCTTCTCTATTGATAAATGAAAAGATAAAAGAAGAAATTAGACTATCCATTGTCTCTTTTTTAAATGAAACTGAGGAAACAGAAATGGAAAGGAAATGGGAATATTTTAAATTCAAAATAAAGCAAAAAATAACCTATTTGTCTAAATTAAATAAAAAAGAAAATAATCGAAATATAGATGAATTAAGAAAAAGAATCGAAAAAACACAACAACGTTTAAATTTGGATCCTCGAAATGATGAATTGAAAGAATTGATTGATGTTTATGAAACAGAACTGATTAGTTTACACGAAATTTACATAAGAGGTGTAATGGTTCGTACAAGAGCAACTTGGATAGCTGAAGGGGAAAAGAATACACGATATTTTTTTAATTTAGAAAAACGGAATTTTGATAAAAAACATATAACAAGATTATCTGTCAATGGGAGACTAGTGATTGAGCCAAAAGATATTTTGTTAGAAGAAAAGAATTTTTATGAAAGACTGTATTCAACTAGACGAACGGAAAAGGAAAACAATGAATTTTGTTGGGATGAATATGACTTACCCGTTTTAGAAGAAGAATCTGCAGTGTTATGTGAAGGTCCTATTACAGAAGCTGAATGTTTTGAAGCAGTAATGTCTATGCCCAATGATAAAACGCCCGGATCAGATGGGCTTTCTGTTAATTTTTATAAAGTGTTTTGGCAAGAGTTAAAAGATGACTTATGTCAGGTATTTAATAAATGTTTTGAAAATGGTGAACTTTGCCCCTCAATGAGAAGAGGAATAATTACTTTACTCCCTAAACAAGGAAAAGATAATTTATATTTGAAAAATTGGCGTCCAATTTCTTTATTAAACACAGACTATAAAATATAGCTAAAATAATAGCAAATAGAATAAAAAAGGTACTTCCACTCTTAATATGTTCTGATCAAACTGGTTTTATGAAAAATAGATATATTGGAGAAAATATTCGTTTGTTTTTAGACATGATAGAATTTTGTAAATCACATTTTGTAGATGGTCTTGCTTTTTCTATTGACTTCGAAAAAGCATTCGACTCTTTAGAATGGAATTTTTTGTACATATGCTTAAAGAAATTTGGTTTTAAGGAAAATTGTATTCAATGGATAAAAACACTTTATAATAACATTGAAGGTTGTGTACTTAATAATGGATATTCCTCACCGTCATTCAATATAAAGAGGGGTGTAAGACAAGGTTGCCCTCTTTCACCATATTTATTTTTAATTGGTGCTGAAATTTTAGGGGTGATGATTAGACAATCAAATGATATTATAGGGATCCGTGTAAACGACTCGGAAGTGAAACTTAGTCAATATGCAGATGATACTGTTATTTATTTATCAGCGACCGAGGATAATTTAGAAAAATGTTGTAATATGTTATCACTATTTGCAAGTATATCAGGTTTGAAAATAAACATAGAAAAGAGCAATATCGTTCGTTTAGGTAATTTTCAGGGTACTTTATGTTTAGATAAGAAATTTAAATGGGTTTCTGATTCATTAATTTATTTAGGTATAAAAATACCTGTCTCAGATGAACTTGATCTATATGATTTAAATTTTGAAGACAAAATTAAAGAAACTGATAATTTGCTAAATGTTTGGAGTAATAGGAGTTTGTCATTGGAAAAATTGCAGTAATCAAAACACTTGTGATTCCAAAGTTTGTATATTTATTTAGTAACACTCCTAGCCCACCCAAAAAGTTCTTTGACACTCTTCAAAAAAGATTATTTAAATTTATTTGGAACAATAAAGGTGACCGAATAAAGAGAAGTATTATGTATAATAATTTGAACGATGGTGGATTAAAAATGACGCATATAGAGAGTTTTTGTAAAGCCCTAAAAATTGCATGGGTAAAAAGAGTTTTGGACGAACAAAATGACGGTCATTGGAAAAAGTTGTTTTATGCCAATACTAAACAAATAGGTGTAGTGTATATATTCTTGTGTAATTTTGTAGGAAGCGACTTGAACTGTAGCGGCATAAATGGATTTTGGAAAGATATTCTTTTTGCTTGGTCACACTATAGGTACTACAACCCCGTGAAATTTAAAGATATTATGAATCAATCGCTATGGAATAACTCTCATATCAAAATAGATGGAAAAACAATTATGTATAAAAAATGGTTTGATAAAGGAATTTTGTTTGTAAAAGATATAATGAAAATAGATGGATCATTTAAAGTAGATATTCATTGATTTTAAAAACTAACTTTAATTTCATTATTGCAAAGTTGAAACTTTGATTCGACAAGGTTATCAAAATTCAATGCTTGGAAACATTCGAAGTAATGATGATTATAAATTATAAAACGCTGAAATACAGCCCCGGCATAGCACCTGAAGAGCTCTCCGAACGCTGCTGAGATGTGTGAGATCACAGTATGGACACGATTTGCACAAGCAGACGATGTCCCATGACATCTCACACATTTTCAGTGCCTGTGTTTTCATCTCCTCTTGAGTTCTTTCTCTTACTTCACTACCGTCAGGCTAAATGTATAATCTATTGCCTCACTCTAAACCCCGCGCATGGTTTTATTTCGATGACAAATGCAGCGATACAAAAATAAAGAAATCTGTCGCTTGTAAACAAAATAAGACGCCATTAAATATTCAGCTGCACACACCGCGGTATGTTCGCCGTTTCAAGAGGGAACAAATGCCGTCTTTAATATCATTCAGGTTTTTTTTTCAATTTGAAAGTCTGGTTTCTTTGATTGTTAATTAACCCCTATACTGTGTATTTACAAGCAAAAGATTTTAGTTATCGGAATCGGGTCATATCCCCTTTTGAATGGTTTGACACGCCATTACATTTATATACACTAAACTCATTATAATTTGACAAATAATAGCCTCGCAATTATGTTCATTCTTTATGGGATGTCGTCTGCTTGGGTAGGAGTGGTCCATATAGTGACGTCATTAAAACATCGTTATTTTACGGCGAATCTCTTGTATATCCCAGCTGCTATGGAGGTGGTTGTATTTGTATTTTTATAAATCACCCGATATGTAGTTGACCTAAAACGTGTCCGATGGTCATCTGTTAGCTTACCAGTTTCTAGTGATACATTAGTTGACATATTTGTGATTTTCTTTGAATTTCACCTTTAAAACTTTTTTGGAGTTACAGGAAATTTTACAGTTGAATCAAGGATGCTACTTAGAATATTTTGCATTGCTATTTTGTATGAAAAAAGAATGGAAAAGAATATTGAAAATAGGTGATTTAGAACAAGAACGAGAAGAAGATGGATATATGAAATTTATTACATTTAAAAAAGTAACCAAACCTTGTTATGAAAAATTAGTGTCTACATTTTGTTTAAATTTATTGAATACGAATCAATGTGAAAAATGGTCATATGATTTGAATGTAAATTTGAGAGACTTAATTCAATGGCAGAATAGATTTGAAATTGTATACTGGGTAACGCTAGACACAAAGATTCGTGTATTTCAATTTAAATTTATCCACCGTCGTTTGGCGACGAATGATTATTTGTATAAAATCGGCATACACAACTCTCCAGTCTGTAATTTCTGTAAAAAAGAACCACAAAGTTTATTGCATTTGTTTTGTACATGTTCTAAAATTCAGCAATTTTGGTCTGATATAAATGCTTGGTTATTAAGAAACAATGTATACACTCAAAAATTTTCATACCTAGATATTTGTTTTGGTTTTGGCGAAAAAACTCACCATCTTATAAATACAATTGTATTTTATGCAAAATATTTTATTTATAAAACAAAGTATGAAGAAAAAAATCTTTCGTTTTTACGTTTTACAAAAGAACTAGATTTTCTTCAACAAGTAGAATATATAATTGCATTCAGAAAAGGAAAACAGAATACACACAAACAAAAGTGGAGACCTCTAATTTAATTTGATTTGATATTTGATATCTAATTATTCGTTTACATGTCCATTTGTTAACTTTAAATTGTATTGTATTGTATTTGTTATGCAGATCGAATGTTAAAATGAACAACTATTGTAAATATCTTTGATTTGAAGCAATAAAAAAAATATTTAAAAAAAAAACAAAAAACTTTTGTTTTGATGGGCTTTACAGTATTGTACAAATCACCTTGATAATGCAACAGTCATTTTAGTTTGCTCAGCACTGTGAGCATCTTCAAAATGGCGCTTGGTTGGAATATGCTCCCCAGTGAGTAGAAAATGTGCATACATTGTGTTCAGACAAGCCTGAATCCACTGAACAGGATAATCATATATATATATATATATATATATATATATATATATATATATATATATATATATATATATATATTATGCTCTATATAAACCCAGAATATTATTATTATTATCATCATTATTATCTACCCATGGGCAGAAAGTATCTCCAAACTTGCTTATCCCTTCCCCCCTGCCCCTCCCCCCTCCCAAGTCCACCACTGACATTCAACCCTGCATCTTACCTGGTCTACATTTGTTACATTCCTGATACCGAATGCGATGGTGTATGCATCCATGCTGTCATCTGCTATGGGAAGCTCCTCAGCATTACCACACACCCACGATATACCTGCAGACATGAATCAACACCAGTAACAAAAGATATATTTTAATTAGAATTTAAGGCTTTTAAAAAATTGGTGGTGATGGAATTCCTGAGGTGACTGGTTTAGAGATACTGAATGTTTATCACACAATGAATTGGAATCTTTGGACTAGCTAGAGACAATATCAACAAAAGCTCATTTACTGGAAAGCACATTTTCACATGAGACCATTTATTATGCACACAGTCTTGAGTTTCTTGACAAATGCCCCAGTCGAATTGCCAAAGCCAAAGCCAAAGGCCCCCTTCCCCCAAAAACATACAAAACAAACAAACAACAACAACACTTGTATCTAAAATGAATGCCAGGGAGGATTATTGTGGGGGGGGGGGGGGGGGGGGGTTGCAACAATAGCCATTGGGTATACTCTCTAGTCTGTTATGGCACAGAAATGTATGTGCCCTTTAAGCAGTTTCCTGCACCATATCTTAATTATGATCACATCGGCCTATAACTGCTGCTTTTGAAAATGAAATGACACCCTTACCACTCTGTATGCCTCTCTGCTTGGCTCTCTTCTTCCCGACTCTCAGCATGTTCTCATTGATATCACACACAGTCACATGTTGCTCCAGAGGCATAGTCTGCCCCGCCTCCTCTGACTCTCCATCTCCTCGCTGGATCGCATCCTCTCCCGTCTCCAAGCCTGACCATCTGATCTCCTCCGGCCACTCCTCGGTAAACTCTGGATCTTGCTTCAGATGGTTGATGTAGTCCAAGAAGCGGAAGGCTATGTCACCTAATGGTGGATAAGATAAGATATTTATTCGTCTTTCTTTCAAATGTCACATAGAACATAACATTAGATCATTACACATTTACAATGCAAAAAAACAAATTATGGCAATGATAAAAACAAAGTTAACTAAAAGAAAGACGAGGAGACCCTGGTAAAAGCAGAGCTTGTAAGTTTTAGGGTCCCCTCTGGGCCAAATAAACATGAAGGTAGTACATTTTGAATGATTAGAATTGACCCATTAAAAGTTTGAAGAAAAATGCCCTAAAAGTTAGAAAATGTCATAAATTTTTCAATTTTTTTTGGCAAAATTTCCAATGAGATATCTCGGGCTAGAGTTGAGTCTATGGAAAATGCCTCTTTTACCTATATCAAATTGAATCCCAAAGGTAAACATCCATCGAGATCATCGTGATCTGCAAAATAAATGCAGATGGCTTGATAAAGGTTTTTCTTTCTGATTACAGAACATGCGCATTATGATGAGTGAACGCTTTAAGTAGGACTGTACTACTTTTAGCTACTTGAGCCCTCTATGTAGAAAAGAATGCCTAAGCAGTACCCGTTGGTCCCCTTTGTCTTTTGTTAATTGAGACTTGAGAGCTGATTTGATGAGATAACCATCTATCAGTGACCATGCAGGGAGGTCTAATCCCTCCTGGCCAAACTAGTGCAGAACTGCAGATAGAGTTTCAGGTTGCAAAGACCAACTTACCTGTTCCACCAGCAACATCTAAAAGTCGAGTCCCAGGTGTGGGTTTGAGCACGGCCTGCATGAAATAGTCCTTCCACAGACGATGAATTCCAAGGCTCATAGCATCGTTCATGGTGTCATAACTGTCGGCAACGCTGGAGAACACTTGATGAACTGGAAAAAAAAGTTTTTGTTACTGCTGTTAGTTTATTGTACATAGGTGCGCTCGAGGAGTTTGCCAAATTCAACAACACTTAAAACAATTTTTTTTTTTTAAACACTTATCGCTATTGAGCATGTTGAGTATTGTCAACGCATAAATCAGCTGATTCTACTAGTAGTAGTACTAGATCTAGATCTAGTCGTTAGATTAAACAACATTATGATTATTAAAGATTATGCTGTCATCTTTGCCAGCCGACGCCTATGCTCGCGCGCGCGCCTAAGTCAGATTTGCAATAAGAATAACATATCATAAAATAACATCTTACACATGATACAAAGCGAAAGGAGATAATTATGAACATTACTAAAATGTAACAAAAAGTAGATCTCTATGGAAGAAGTTGCGACTTGCGCTGCCATCAGCACCACCATCAGCACCACGTCCACTACTCCACCGAAGGTCTAGACTAGACCGCTAGTGACGGGAGAGATTGTCCTGTCTGCCCGTAGGCTTCTATCATCATCTTACCCCTCTCAGTTTTCTCTGCTTTAGACACATTCTCGAATCCAAAATGTGTTTCATCTTCACTCTGTGGGGCTGTATCTTTGGAAGCAAAGTTTCGCGTGCCAACTGCTGAGATACGTGGTCCAAAAAGAAATTTTCGAGAGCGAGAGAAACAGGCACGACAAAGTTTCATGGGCGCTGCCATCTTGAATTCCATCCATACACAAGTTAGACCGAATTTTCCGTCTCTTTCGTTCGTTAGCCTCTTATTGGGGTAGGGTCGGCTCTCTCTTTAGAGACGGAAGCCGTTTATACACATGTCCTTGCTAACGCCACGGCCAGTTCTGGTCGTAGCGTTTTGCCCCCAAAATCCCCCAAAATGTCATTTTACCTCGAGCATGTTATATTGTAAATTAGGCCTAGGCTATAATAAATCAGTTCCACTTACCAACTTGACTGAAATAATCAGTTTAATAGTCCCTTTTTAGGAAATTATGGGTCAAAATCGGAATCCATGTTGAAAAAGATTTTCAAAATGGATTTCGATTTTGATCCATAATTTCCTAAAAAGGGACTATTAAACTGATTATTTCAGTCAAGTTGGTAAGTGGAACTGATTTATTATAGCCTAGGCCTAATTTACAATATAACATGCTCGAGGTAAAATGACATTTTGGGGGATTTTGGGGGCAAAACGCTACGACCAGAACTGGCCGTGGCGTTAGCAAGGACATGTGTATAAACGGCTTCCGTCTCTAAAGAGAGAGCCGACCCTACCCCAATAAGAGGCTAACGAACGAAAGAGACGGAAAATTCGGTCTATACACAAGTGTGCAACATGGATCGAAAATTCATCTCAGAAGAGAGGCAGAAATTCAGAGCTTGTGTTTCTAAATTACGGAATTTAGTTCCATCTCAAAATGAAGATAGTAGAAAGACACTTAATGCTCTTTTGGATGAATTCAATTCTCTAGATTATTCTATTTATGGATTGATCGACGAGGTAAGTTTTTATGAATTAGATTTGTCAAGCCCCACTCACTGATTTTTATGTTGCCTAGATTGATCACAAATTATGAATGATTATTCCTTTTGGCTTCATGCTTTATCATGTTATTTATCGTTTATTATAATCCTTTTAAACTTTGTAAGAAGAATTTAACGCCTAAATTCCTAAATTTACTTCAGATTTTTAATCAAATTCGCTTTCTTTTTCCTTTTATTCATTCATTAATTTTTTTAAAAGAGTTACAAGTCACAAAGTGTTTAAAGACGAGATTAAAGACTTGATTGGTTCAATTTTTGAATGGCAAATCATAATATCAATAGGATATATCTAGCTATTTAAAAAAAATATATGCCACCTTGTAGTTGTACGATTTCTGTGAAACCAGAAATGTTTGCGACAACACACTTTTGCAATATTTGATATTCATCTGCCTGAAACTCCATGAAATTGGCAAAAGTGTGATACTGAATGATGTAATCTCTCTATGAATCATGGGGGCCGTTTCTCGAAACCGTCATAACTACAAGATCAACGACATCTCGCCACTGTCGCGCAACTTGTCAGCTAAGTGTTTCACGAAGCCGTCTTTGCCAAGATGAGCGACAACATCCGCGACAAGCGAGTTGTCACTGCTCCAAACCTGTCATATCTTTTTAATTGCTGTAAAGCGCCATCACAAGTCATTTTGTTGCCATTCCATGGGCCGCGAAATGGACGATTAGTTTCTCTATCATTTTGAGAAAAATATACACAAGTTTGGTACGTAATTCTCTGGGATGCGAAATGCAAATGTACAAAAGTGAGAAAACAAATTATACAGAAACTTTAAAAAGCTGAATATAAACATTGAATCACAAATCATTAAACTATAACATATAAATAAGTTGATAGTCGATCCATAGTCTTTTCTTAGAATACCGTCATACCTTTGGGGCCTATGTGCATTATTATTCCCTCTCTAATTACTTCTTCCATATTATATTTTCAATATCAAATCAATTATATAACGAGTATTTATGAGACTCTAGAATAAAAACTGGCTGAGAAAAGACATTTTGCCTAAAATTCCTCGTCACGATAAACAAAAAAGTACGTATTGATAAACTATCACATTACGGTATCCTTCAACTAACTTTTGATTCGACTGTCAAAAAAAAAACACTCACCGGTTTTACTTCAATTTAAGAATCTTTACAGAAATATGCAAATCGTTTGATGATGTAAATATGATAATGACACTATTTATTATTTATTTTAGGAGAATTTATATGTAAATATTTCTTTTTGAACAATTTTAGCCCCAAAACTTGTTTTGGGTTATTCTTCATAAATCAAATGGATCATGACAAAGACATTCTTCTTGAGCTGCTAGTATCGCGATATATCGATATCATGTCTGTCATGGCTTTGTGAAACGGTTTATCCACTTCATGACATCTCCGTAGGTCGGCGACAAAGATATGACTGTCATGGAGTTGGTTTCGAGAAACGGCCCCATGGTCTAGCTTTCTCTGTCCTTACGTCTTGAGGTTGCCTTCATTGTTTATCATTTTTTTTCATTTTATGACAGGACGCTGGCCAGATCTTATGCCAAGCATGTCGTGTAGTCCCTCTTCAAGATAATTTGATGGTTACTAAAGTTTGCCAGCTGATAGTCATCATTACTCATCAAAAGGTAGGTTTCCAGGAAAATCTATCCTTGATTGCAAGTCAGTCTGGAGGAATCTATGGGTTTAAAACAAATTGAAATCATTAATCTTTTTCACTTTTTTATTTGGCAAATTGATAATGGTACTGTGACATTACAAAAGAATACTGGGTAATGATAATAATGCAGGCAGTGAGTGATTTAGCTCAGGTCGTCTGGATAGCTTTTTGAAAGCTTTGAAAAAGCTCTGAAATCTGGAAAAGGTTAGAATTATAACGATGCAAAAAGAAATGTTGCTAGGTAAACATTTCACTTTTAAATATGCAAATAGGTATTTAAGCTGTGATCCACTGCGAGTTAACGTCTCTCATGTTTGCTCCTGCTCTTCATCTCTTCTAAATCTCATAGGATCTTTTATTTATTGGACATATTTAACACATGCCATCCTTGACATTTCAATGCCTAGTATAGTTGTACTTATAAATTGCACATTTGGAATCCAAAGTATGAAGTGTGATGGTGTTCAGTTGTTGTTGTTCCTTTTTTTCCAGGTAAAGCTATCTAAACCCAGTACTACAGTGCTGCTAGAGTTTGTGATCGGAGTTAGCAAGCAATGTGTTTCCTGGATGCTTCCAGACACCCTAAGGGCTCTAGGTGCTGTGCTCTATGAAAATGGACCAAAGTGTGAAATGGTAAGCAGAACTAAATTTATAGAGGTGTTGTGGTCTAGCAGATAGGTCACCGGGCTGTAGATCGCAAGGTTCGGGGTTCAAATCTCAGCTCGGCACTAACTTTCTTTGGTAAGACATTAATCATCATTTGCTATTCTCCACCCAGGTGTTCAATGAGTACCCAATAGAATGGGAGTGTTAATGAAGTTTGCTCAGCATTGGGAGTGTCTGTTAAATATGGCGCCTGGCTGGAATGCTCCCCAGGGAGTGGAGAACATGCTTAGCTTATTGTGATGAACTGCAAATGTTAACAAAGAAATAAATATCCCAAATGGGAAATAGTCACCTACGTGTAAGTGCATTATAAAAATCTTGACATGTGCATCTGACCATGGAGCCATTCTTCCAAGAGTTTGACTCCTGGGGGGTGTTTCACAAAAATCCTAAGTCAAACTGAACTCTAAGTTGGACTTAAACATTATGGAGAGCCATTTGCACCTTAAAAATAAATATATTCAAAAGAGAAAATTCAAGTATTTTAGACTTTTGTAAATTCCACATCAAGAACATGAAATCTCCTTGATGATTCGAATCAACATTTTATGCCTTTTAAAATAACTTTTACAAAATATTTTCATAGATGCTAAGTTGCTAACGGCTTTCCGGACGGCTTTCCATAACTTTTAAGTCTAACTTAGAGATAAGTTCAACTTAGGATCTTTGTTTAACACCCCCTGTTTTGGGCTTGTGCCTCTCCTGTTAGTAGTGTTGTTATTTGATATTGAATCTGTCTTTTTTCCTTTCTCTCCTGTCAGTTTCTTGAGGAGATGTTGATGCCTTCTCCTCCAGGTCTCCTGCAGAAGATGGTCTTGTCCCATGACCTCGAGGTCAGACGGACCGCTATCCTCTGCATTGCTAATGCTTGTATGAAGTAAGTTATCAATATCAAATTATGTACTGTTTGATTTTCTATTTTTAATGATTTCTTAAATTATATTCTACACACCTGGAGAAACCATAAAGACAAAAAGCAGTCCAAAGCAAAAGCTCAATATCATTTATAGAGAAAAAGGTATAATCTGGCTGGAATGCTCCTCAGGGAGTGGAGATTGTGCACACAGTGTGTGCTGGCAAGTATTGAATTCAATGAACAGGGTAATAGAGACATCGTAGATGTATTAACCCTACGTTAACTTTAGGGGGGGGGGGGAGGGGTTAATTTGACCCCCCCCCCCCAACTGTAGAAGTTTTGTGACTATTCCGAAACCGTGGCAGATATAAAATTTTCCTTTCATGACTTTTTTCTTTTGAGTCTTAAGCATCTTTTAAAACAATTTTTTTTGAAAATCGATCGTATAGTTACAAAGTCACATGACCTTCTGTCTCCGTATGTCAGCCCGAAAATCGCTCATTTTTGTGATTTGTGTACAAAACATATGGAAATGTCATTTTTCCTAAAAAGAGATAAAACATTGGTTATGTAGTCTTGTTTAAAGTTTAGGTGTTTGTTTTGGGGTCAAAATAGTTGAATTGTAGTTATAAATGAAATAAAACAACAAAAACAACAAAAACAATAAAATACATAAGTTAAAAAAACAATGAAATACATAAGAAATTATAAAAACAAGAGATAACATAAGGAATAACCTGGCTCTTCCAATTTTTTGTGTTGTATTATTATTCCAAATGGTCTAACAAATTTATGTAGTGAAAAAGAATGCTTAAATATGAATAATGTATGATTTATGGGCAAAAATGTGAATTTTATGACCTTATTTGCATAAATTACCATAAAAATGCAAATGAGTGGATTTAAAAAAAAATTGAAATTACCATAGTATTCTATACATTTCACTTGACATGTATGCAAATTTTCACAGCGATCGGCAGTGAAACGGCCGAGATCTTAAGGGGGGGACCCCCCCCCCCCAGTAAAAACCTGGTCTGAAATAGCCCAGTTAAAATAGGGTTAAGCACTATACAAAAGCAGAATATTATTTATTATTATGCAAAATAACCAAAATGGCATGTATTATTGCTCTTAAAATTAAAATGCATGTACTGTATGCTCATATTTTCTGCATAAAATAGGCCCAAGTTCTCAAAATTCAGTAGTCAATGTTTATGCCTCCAAAAAGTATTTATGAGCCTCAGTCAAAATCTAGTTGACATGATTTTTAATTACTACTGGCCAGATCTTTCACCAGGCATACTCCTGATTTTTCAGGATTTAGTTAAGATAATTTTCCAATTAATTTAGAGGAACTTCTTATTTTTCAATTGCTGTTTTTATTGAAACAGGAGTGACGATGGGAGAGTAATCAGTGAACCTCTTCTTAGTCTCAGTTTTGATGTAATCTTATCGGCGCTTCATACTCCCAAACCAGCTGGTTGTGATGACTACACACAGGTTAGAGTAAGTACAAAAACATAGTCACCAATCGTTCCCATTTTGCAGGTATGCTTACAATTGTATATTGATGTTATGAGCCCTATATCCCAGTCTCTACTGAAAAACTTATTTCATAACATCATACAAAGTATACCTTATTCTTGCTTTTGTGTTGAGAGATTGAGAATTTGTGCTGTGGTAAATTACCAGGTACATGTTAATAACTGGGCATCAGCATGCTCACTAGAACATTATACACCTGTCAGGATTTGAGGGATTTTAAGCTTCAGAATAACTGTGGAGGGAGGGGGGTGCCACAGTATTTCAAAAGGAAGACTAAATTGTACATATGCCAGTTCATGTATGTACAGTAGTTTTAATACAGTGCACACCTGGAACCCAATCAAGTTTACTGAATGAAAGTTTCAAAGTTTTATTATGTGCAAAGTGTATTTGTATAGTTACCAGAAAAAATGAATTATGTTTGAACAAAATGTAATACCTCTGTTTATCTTTCTGTTGGAAATGAAATAAATATAAATTTAATTGAATTGAAAGGAATTAAACAAAACTACAGCTTGATTTTCTCTCTTTCACTTTTTAATCAGGAATGCTTATAATGCTTTTGAAGCCCCTTCGTTTGATCGTACCATTTAATCACACATTAATATTCTCTTTGTTTAGTTCTTATTAGGAGCTCTTCGTGGTTTACAGAACCTTCTGTCTGCCCAGAAGAACATCCATGTTGACCATCTTGGCTCCGTCTTGGCAGCTCTGAAGGTGAGTGAGTTACACTACTCTAATAATAGCTGATAATAGCTACATGTAGTTCTTACATATAGTGCTTTTCAGGACCGAAGGCCCTCTCAAAGCGCTTTATATATATTACTACCCCGGTCATCATATTCAGGCTTACCCGCACACAATGTATGCACATTCTGCACTCCCTGGGGAGCATTCCAGCCAGGCGTCATTTTTACAAGCACACACTCCCTAATCTAAGCATCCTACCAGGTACCCATTTAACACCTGGGTGGAGAGTGGCAAATGTAGATCAATGTCTTGCCAATGGACATTAGTTCTGCGGCGGGACTTGAACCACGGACCTTGTGATCCACAGTCCGGTGACATATCCACTCGTCCACGACACCTCTACGAGATTCTCATAGTCAAAGGATTTGATTGCAATAGGACGGGATGTTTATGTATACCACAGGATGAATCATAAAACTTGGCCTTGGCTCACTAAACACGTACCTGATTAACCCTTTGACTAAGGGGACCGGGTGGCTACTGTATCAAGCCCTTGGGAATGAATAAATTCAGGAGTCAATGGCTTAATGAGCAACATTTAAACATATATATATATAGTGGAAAATAAATCCCTTCTTTATGTTTCTCTGTTTCTTTAACTTCATGCATTTGTATGGACCTGATTTTGAAATAGTTTATCTTTCTTTCAAGTGCATTTTTATAGTTTTTGTTATGAACCAAAATCATACCTTGCAGTCTAAACCCTATGTACCTTTAACAATTAAAGTAATGATATTCTTGTTTAATGAAAACTTTTGCTGTCGGAAAAGGGAAATTTTCTTTATATAGCTGTAAATTATATTGTGTTTTTAATAATAATAATAATAATTAGATTCTTATATAGTGCACGTATCGACCTTGCAAGGTTCTCAAGGCGCTCCAACATTACCAGAGCCCTTCAGATCTTCCCAGAGTTTAACAATTCTCCGCTCCTCTGCATTTGTTATTACTCCTTGTATACAACATCAATATGATTCCTCTCTATTTATTCCTAGAGCTATTCCCTGTACGGTCTACCAGGCATTGGTACCAACCTGCAGATCCCTTCCACCCTCTTCCCTTCCTCCCTCTACCAAACCAGCCCATCCCCTGCCAAACCCAGCACACAGCAGAAAGGGGATGATGTTTCAGAGGGGAGGGGAGCACAAGGTGTAACACCCAAGTCATCTACTGGAAGGAAGAACAAGAAGAGAGGAGGCAAGAAGCAGCAGGAGAAAGAGTGAGTGTGGAGAGACCTCCTCTCGTCCTCTCAAACCTCATCCAGTTTAAAGGGGAAGTCCACCCTGATATTAAGCTGGTTTTGATAGAAGTAGAAAGATGAAAGAAACGGGTCGGTAAAAGTTTGAGAATAAAAACGATTAAAACAAGAAAGTTATGCATTTTTGAAGGTGCGATCAATCAAACACAAATTCTCAAATCTGTGACGTATCTTGCGAGCTCTCCTCCCATTTGCCTTGTACTAAGAAAATAAAATTCCTATTTTCCCTTCAGAAAATTTTCAATCATACATTCACTCTAAATGTATGGTAATTATTGCAAATACGGGTATCTTTTGATACAACCCCTGTGTGAAAAAATCTCTTCCATCATCAATAAATAAAGAAAAATAAAAGTTTATGGAATTTTCTGTACAGAGCAAATTTGTGTTCCACTGATGATAACTTTAGATATCCATAACTTTCCTATTTTTAATTGGATAATGCTCAAACTCTCCATCTTTTAAATCCCATTTTCTGCTTCCATTAAAACCAATATGATATCAGGGTGGATTTCCCCTTTGAAGGGTGATTCTGTGTGTTGTGTTCCACAGGACATTATGTCTTTTATCCATTTAATTCATTTAAAAAAAAGAGAAAATCCTTTGATATTGCCATTTACTAATGGTTCTTTCTGGGATTACCACCTTTAGTCAATGGACATAGCAAGAGATATTACATTTTTGAATCCTACTCCCCTTAGGGGCTCTTGGTCCTTGAATTTCATATATGTTATTTCCTTCTTCACATATTGATTTACCAGTGTTCACTTCAGTTGTTGATATAGCTGAAAATTCCTGAAAATAGACTGGAAATTATACAGGTTCGCTCCATTGAATTTTAGATGCTTGATTGCTTACTTGCATAATACAAATTCCTGTGTATATAATGAACCATGTCCTATCTTTGTGTAGGCAAGCAAAACAACAGCGAGAGAAACAGGAAGAAAGTCCAACAATTTCCATCAAACAGGGAGGACAACAACCTGATGGAACAGCCACAGCAGATGGCTCTTCCAACCCAGACACACTCTCCTTCTGGCCGAGCTGGGGTAGAGTGAGCAGTTCAGAGTCAGAGTACTCTGATTCAGAGGGAGGGCAGGTATCAAAACTAAGATCAGCATCCTCCAAAGTGAGACAGGCTTCTCTAGGGTGTCTGCACAGTGTGGTGAAGGTGAGAAAGAGTTTTTTTAAAGCCTGTCTGTAATAGTTTGGCTAGGAGGGATTCGACCACCCAGCAAGGTTGCTGAAAGGTGGCGATCTCAACAACTCAGCTCTCAATTAACGTAAGAAAAAGAGGATCATGGGGGACCAACAGGCACCGAATAGGCATTGTTTTCTATATAGGGAGAGCAAGTAGCTTCAAGTGGTACAGTGGGCCTTTTAAAGAAACTTAGAAACTTAGAAAAAAAGAGATCTGTTAGGGGTTGGAGGTTTTATTTGGTCATGAGAACTTATCTTACCCATGGGCCCATATTGAGAATTCAATTTCATAGTGATGTAATTTTTGTTTGTTCTTTTAATTACAGAATTATATCAATTTTATATGATGAAGAGGTTCACACTTAGCACTCTGTAAATCAGTGGATTAACTTCATCCAGTTAGTAGGGTTTCGAGTCTGGTTATAAAGAAGTTGTTATGAGTACTGGCTAATGAGTCTATGTAAGAGACAATGTACATGTGTATGACTAGTAACATTTAAATGCATGTCATACTCTGGCACTCCCTCCTAATGCCCCCCCCCCCCCCCCCCCCCTCAGTAGAAGTAGCAGGTATATTACATGTAGTTACTAGTATCAATATCAGTACAAAACTGTAACTTGAAGACAATGAGGTCAGCAGATAAATGATTGTAGGTAACAATAGAGAACGTTCACCATACCGGAATAAGCAAAAATTGCAGTTTGATAGAGAATATCGTCACTTTCATGCAGTTTGCATGTATTACAGTGGGGGCTTTAGTGCTTGCTCCAAAATTATAGGGTTAACCCTAAAAATCACTCATTTTGTGATTTGTGTACAAAACATATGGAAATATCATTTTTCCTAAAAAGAGATAAAACAAAAAAAAACAATGAAATAAATAAGAAATTATCAAAACAAGAGATAACATAAGGAATAATCTGGCTCTTCCAATTTTTTTGTCATGTTATTCCAAATGGTCTAACAAATATATGTAGTGAAAAAGAATGCTTAAATATGAATAATATATGATTTATGGGTAAAAATGTGAATTTTATGACGTTATTTGCATAAATTACCATAAATATGCAAATGAGTGATTTTTTTCAAAAAAATTGAAATTACCATAATATTCTCTACACTTCACTTGACAGGCATGCAAATTTTTGCGGCGGTCGGCAGTGAAACGACCGGTAAAAACCTGGTCTGAAATAGCCTGGTTAAAATAGGGTTAAATCATATTAGCTTGTAAAATATTAAGAACCTGTCATTTCTTGTTTGCTTTCTTCCCAGAACACGGATAAGAGACAGATGTTTGGTTTCTGGTCAGCCTTCGTACCAGACTCCCCTCCCACAGGAGGTCACAACACACAGACCCTCTTCACCTGTATGTTAAAGGACCCCTCCCCAAAGGCCAGAGTGGCAAGTGTTGCAGTCATCATGGCTCTCCTGGATGGCTCCAAGCAGTTCCTTATCGCAGCTGATGATAGGTAAGTACTCAAATTTTATCAGGATACCTTTAACCCTATGTTAACTGGGGGGGGGGGGGTGGTCAATTTGACCCCCCCTGTAGAAATTTCGCGACTACTCCGAAACCGCGACAGGTATAACATTTTTCTTTCATGACTTTTTTTTTTCGAGTCTTACACATCTTTTAAAATGATTTTTTTGAAAATTGGACGTATAGTTACGAAGTCACATGACCTTTTGTCTTTGCATGTCAGCCCGAAAATCATTCATTTTTGTGATTTGTGTACAAAACATGGAAATGTCATTTTTCCTAAAAAGAGATAAAACATTGGTTATTTAGTCTTGTTTAAAGTTTAGGTGTTTGTTTTGGGGTCAAAATAGTTGTATTGTAGTTATAAATGAAATAAAACAACAAAATCAATAAAATACATAAGTTAAAAAAACAATGAAATACATAAGAAATTATCAAAACAAGAGATAACATAAGGAATAACCTGGCTCTTCCAATTTGTTATGTTGTATTATTATTCCAAATGGTCTAACAAATATATGTAGTGAAAAAGAATGCTTAAATATGAATAATGTATGATTTATGGGCAAAAATGTGAATTGTATGATCTTATTTGCATAAATTACCATAAATATGCAATTGAGTGAATTTTTAAAAAATTTGAAATTACCACAGTATTCTATACACTTCACTTGACATGCATGCAAATTTTCGCGGCGATCGGCGGTGAAATGGTCGAGATCTTAGGGGGGGGGGGGGGGGGGGGGGGGGGGGTCAATTTGACCCCCCCCCCCCCCCCCCAGTAAAAACCTGGTCTGAAATAGCCCAGTTAAAATAGGGTTAATAGGAAGAACAAGAAATCTGAATATACAGGGTTTTGGCTGTAGGTTAGGTTTTATAGGGTTATGTATAGTGTCTGTTGAAGTTTGGAAGTTTAAAAATTGGTGAGAAATTGGTTACTAACAAGTGGTGCAGGAGCATATGTAGTAGATCCATACGTGTGTGTTCCCATCTGTAATATAATTTGTTTTTCTCCCCTCTATGAACAGAGTCCAGAAGAAAACAGCATTCACACCTTTCTCCTACACACTAGCATGTACCATCAAGGAGGTCCATAGAAGCCTTCTATTGGCTCTATTAGCAGAGAGCTTTCACACTACAATCACCCAGATCATCAAGGTATGAACACGCACCAGGGGGTGCTTCACAAAGATCCTAAGTTGAACTTATCTCTAAGTTGGACTTAACAATTATGGAAAGCCATTAGCATCTTTGAAAATATTAAGGCATATAATGTTGATTCAAATTATTCTTATTTTCTAGTATCAAGGAGATTTCATGTTCTTGATGTGGAATTTATTAAAAGTCTAAAATACTAGACTTTTTGCTTTTTAATATATTTTATTTTAAGGCTACAATTGTTTCTCCATAATGTTAAGTCCAACTTAGAGTTAAGTTCGACTTAGGATCTTTGTGAAACACCCCCCTGTATTGATACCATCGAGACGATTGTCTGCACAATTTTATGTGGAAGTATTTGTAACTGTCAAACCAATGGCATTCACAACATGAAACCTGAAACCGGTGTACAGTGGCCCACGCAGTACACGTATTATGCATGCGCGTTGTATGTAAGTGTCCGAAAGCTATTTCCAGGTTCCTCAATTTTTGTGATGGCAGCAACGGAAAACAAGAGAAAGATACTCCATGTCATATCAGCGACCAGACTGAATTAAACAATAGAGGGCCCTTAACTCTTGTAACTTAAAAAAAATGACGGGCTTAGCTTTAGAATACCCCACAAAAAAACTAAGCATGTAGTGATGTCAATGTATCAATTATCAATTTACCTCTCATATTAATGCTTCTTCCACCCAGGTAAAGTAAATGGGTACCCGGTAGGAAGAAATTCCTAGAATGCTTTAGCGCCTTATTATGGCATGGCAGCTCAGCTACGGCTGAGTTAATGATCTGATAATAATATTTGGCTTATATATATACGGTAGCGCTTAATACATCAACAATGTGTCTAAGTGTTTTATAGATATAATATTACTTTGATGAAATTACTATGATACTTTGTATTAAGTACAGTAGAGTATATTCTTACAGTGGCTGTGCTATATAAATGGACCTATTATAATCATTGTTATTATTCCTGTTTTGCTATATCTCAAATTACGATCTACTTTTTATCTTGTTTTTATTACAGTGTCTTTCCATGTTAGCTATGAATGTTCCTTACAATCATCTTGAAGCTGGCCTCCTCACCAGGATCATCAGAGCACTCAAACCATTCTTCTGCCACAGAGGTAATACCATCATCACTACTCGATATCTAAAATATTTGTATTATAGCCCCTACCCTCCTCCAATCACTGTGTTCCTGATCAGATCTTATATTTGAATTTCAGAAATATTTGTGAATTTATTTGCTTCCGTGTCATTTATTAATTTCTCTGGGACAATTTCTGAAAAACTCATCAAGAAAACTGCAAACATGTATGTTCACTTAGTTGTGCCAGTTCAACATTGCAAAACAGCAATATTTACAATGAAATACATGTGATAATGCTTATTCATGTCTTCTTCTTTTGCAATCTGACAGTTATGTAAATGTTACCTTAAATGTACATGTCCTGTTTTAATATGTTATTATTAAAGGCAGTAATATGACAATCGAAACACAAACCAACTATGTGAGCTATGTGTGTATGTTTATTTGTAATGCCTAATTGCTATATGGTTCGGTGATATTTATGCCAGTGCATATTACATCCACAAACTGCCATGATGAGTATAATATGTAGGTATGCAAGGATCATATACATATCACATAGAAACACAATGCTTGAAATGTCAAGATGTTCCTAGATTCTATACGTACCAGATATGTATGAAGAGAATGTACAGTTTAGATGAGAAATGAAGATTATGAAGTCACAGTGTGTCTCGTTTGGAATTCTCCCTATATAGATAGCAACGTAAGGACAGCCTGTCTGACATGTGTAGGAGCTGTCCTAGGTGCCAGCCCCCCGCTGGATGAAGTCACCAAGCTCATGGAGAGCAGCGAGAGACCAAAGGCAGGTGGCTCCGGAACCCTGATGCTACGGCTCCAAGCCAACCGGTCATCGGACAATGCTGAAAGTCCCTCGGACGAAAGCAGAAGAGACGGTCCTGGAGGATCAGGAAGCCTTGCTGACATGGTGGGACAGGATCCAGAACAGGCCTCAGGTGTCCCCAGTGCAGGAGGAGCGGATGTAACTGAACAAGCCTTGGATAGGTTGTCATTGAGAGATGGACAAAGTGCCTCTGGAGGACCAGAGGTCTCTGAAGACAGGACGGTGAACTCTGCTGCAGAGACTGATAGTGGTGTCCGTATGTCTTGGTTGGTGACACTGTGTAGTGACATCTGCTTGCCTGCTGACACATCAGAGTATGCAGCCAATAGTCTCAATGAAAGGTGGGTTGAAAAAACGTGGTAACGATTCTTATCATAGAAACTTTTTAAAACTCTTATTATTAGAGGACATAAAAACGTCTTAAAAGTCCACTTTAGAGAATGAAAATAAGATTTGGATAAAAGGCGCATATTCATTGTTTTAGTAATGTAGACATATTTTTGAAAGTGTTGCATGTCTTCATAGTCTTTATTGAGTGTTACACTAATTGATTAGAATAGTAGGGATGAAAGGAAAGTCATTTGATTGTATCAGAATATGAATACTAATCCTTTCGATTGAATATTCTTCCCCTCTCTTCTTCTTCTTCTCTGTCTGTCTGTCTCTCTCTCTCTCTCTCTCTCTCTTGCTGTCCGTCTCTCTCTCTCTTCCTCGTGGTCTATCTTACTCCATCTTTCTCTCTTATTCCCTTTCTCCCCTACTTTCTTACTTTCCCACTGTCTCCCTCTTTCTCTTCCTCTAACTCTGCCCCTCTATCTCTGCCCCTCTTTCTCTGCCCTTCTATCTCTGTCCCTATTTTGTTCTTCTTTTCTCTCTCTGTCCTGCCACCCTCTCTCTCTGCCTCTATCTCTCTTTCTCTATCTCTATCTCTGTATTTTCATCTCTGCCCTCCTCTCTCTGTCCCTATTTTGTTGTTCTTTTTTCTCTCTCTGTGCCTCTATCTCTCTTTCTCTATCTCCATTTCTGTCCTTGCATATCTCCTCTTTTCTCTGTGCCTCTAGGTACAGCATAGAATCTCTACCAGTGCGGATTGAGTCCCTCCAAGTGTTAACCCAGATGGTGAAAGGATACGTTCATATCATGAGAGGCATCCTCATGCACCTTAGTCATATCATCATTGAATGTCTGTCAGATAGAGACTCACAGATACAACTCCACAGTCTTAAGGTACTACTTTATTGATCCTTTCGGGAAATAGACTTTTAAAAGGGCTGAATAGAAAAGCTTTTCTTCTTCAAATTGAATCAAATCATCATTGAATGTCTGTCAGATAGAGACTCACAAATAAAACTTCACAGTCTTAAGGTACCACTTTATTGATCCTTTTGGGACAAAGACTTTTTAAAGGGCTACAAAGAATTTTTTTTCTTCCAACATGTTCCCAACATGTATTTCTTAAATTTGTTTTAAATGCTTATAATTGATTTGTAATGTTTTGTTGGAAACCTGAATAAATTTGAATTAAAAATTTGAATTGAATTGAATTTGAATTGAAATTAAATTAAAAGGCTACACAAATCATCATTGAATGTCTGTCAGATAGAGACTCACAAATACAACTTCACAGTCTTAAGGTACTACTTTATTGATCCTTTTGGGACAAAGACTTTTTAAAGGGCTACAAAGAAATTTTTTTCTTCCAACATGTTCCCAACATGTATTTCTTAAATTTGTTTTAAATGCTTATAATTGATTTGTAATGTTTTGTTGGAAACCTGAATAAATTTGAATTAAAATTTGAATTGAATTGAATTTGAATTGAAATTGAATTAAAAGGCTAAACAAATCATCATTGAATGTCTGCCAGATAGAGACTCACAAATAAAACTTCACAGTCTTAAGGTACCACTTTATTGATCATTTGGGACATATACTTTTTAAAATTGAAAAGCTCTTCTTCAAATTGAATCATATTATCATTGAATGTCTGTCAGATAGGGACTCACAAATACAAGTCCAGAGTCTTAAGGTACTACTTTATTGATCCTTTCG